GCAATAAAAATATTGGTATCGGTACTCGGTATCGGCAAGTACCAAAAATAAAAGTATCGGTATCAGGCGAGTACTGAAAAAAGTGGTATCGGTGCATCCCTATAAAATATAAGAATATAAATATATACATTTATATACATGTAAATATTTTCAAAAGATATACTGTATGTGTGTGTATTTATATATACATAATAAATGTACACAATACACACACATATGGAAACAAAAACTTTCAGTTTGGATGCGATTAATCGCGATTAATCGTTTGACAGCACTAATTTAGTGTAACTTGATGTACTAAAATAACTAAAACTGAAATAAAAATTTCTAAAAATTTTTATCTAATAAAAATGACAAAAACTAATAAAAATGACAAAAACACAAAATAAAAACAATTTCAGAATATTCATAAAAACTACAATGTATTGGTGGAAACTGTGATACCTTTTCAGAATTTTTCAGAATTTATTTGAATAGCATTTATTTGAATTGAAATCTTCTGTAATATTCTAAATGTAAATAAAAGTATATATTTCTTAAAAAAACGTGTTGACCCTAAACTTTCGAATGGTAGTGTATTTACAGTACATATTTATATTAAGTTGTGTGCACTGACAAATAATAATGACAAATGCATTGACACAACCTTCTATTGTGTTTTCCTTGTTGACTGCACACAAAACATCCAAATATACAAACATACAGTGCAATGTGCTTTACAATTTGCAAACAAGTCTCTGTGATTCTTTTTTTATGAATCAGTGGACCCAGTTGGTGAATCAGATTGAACTGAACATGCAGTAGGAACCACAGAGTGTGAATCATAGACTGAATCAGTCAGACAACTCACTACTTCACAGAATAGGCTGGAATGACTCACTTACTAGACACATATATTATGTAAACAAAAACTTTTATTTTGGATGCAAACTATTTTGGAACTTTTATTTTATTTTGATTACCATTCAAAAGTTTGGGGTCACAAAAGTTTGAGGATTTTTACATTGTTACAAAAATTTATATTTTAAATTAAGGTTTTTCTTTCGAACTTTCTATAATAATAATAATAATTATAAAAACAACAATAGGAAGTTTTTAAGCAGCAAATCAGCATATTAGAATGATTTCTGAAGATCATGTGACACTGAAGACCGGAGTAATGATGCTGAAAATTCAGCTTTGATCACAGGAATAAATGACACTTTAACCTATATTTACATAGAAAACAGTTATTTTTTAAATTGTAATAATATTTCACTATATTACTGTTTTTACTGAAATTTTGATCACATAAATGCAGCCTTGGTGAGCAGAAGAAACTCAAAAACATTCAAAAATCTTACTGACCTCAAACTTTCAAACAGTAATGTAAATTTCCTAAGATGTGAGGCAGATGTGTGGGATCTACAGGAGATCTGAGGGTTTGTTCACTCACTCCGCGCAGTTCGCTCTTGATCCTGAATAAGACTTTGGCCACGGGGTTTGCCGACTCCGACTGCATCTCCACCAGCTCATCCAGCTGCTTGGGGATCTTTATACGGTTCACCTGCAGGGGGAGACAGAGGGACGTCACGTTACCAGCACAGTTTGAGCTAGTGGGGTCAAGAGGTCAAGCTGGTTAGCTCTGGCTGACTGGTTAACCACTGCTGGTTGTGTGTGTGACTCACAGTAAAGACTTTCTCGGGCTCTCCGCGCGCACGCATGTTTGTGTCATGAATCTGTTTGAGAACCATCCACGCCTCGTCATGCTTTCCCACCTGGAGACGAGAGAAAACACAAATAATGTCAAGTCAAGCTTATTTATACAGCACTTCTCACAATACACATTGTTTCAAAGCAGCTTTACAGAAAATCATAAACTTAATGTTTATAATATCAAAACACTAACTAAAATTAATATAAAAATCTATATACAATGTAACTAAAATATAAAAATAATACTAAAAAATAAAATATATAATAAAAAAATAATATAATAAATAAAAAATATAATAATAATAATAGTAAAATAACACAATTTCACAAATTCTCACACACACACTCGTTACCTCCAGGTAGAAGCGTGGACTCTCTGGCATAAAGGTGAGCGCCACAACTGCAGAGACACAGGGCAGCGCGCAGACGACCACAAACACACGCCAGCTGTGGAACTGATACGCTGAACCCATGCTGAAACTCCAGCCTACACACACACACACACACACACATTCACCAACACTGAAGACTGGAGTAATGATGCTGAAAATTCAGCTTTGCATCACAGCAAGAGACTTCTTTCAGAAACATTACAAATCTTAGTGACCCCAACCTGCTGAATGTTAGAACCGATAACTGCAAACATTTACCTACAGAAAACAGAATAAATGTAAAAAAATTTCATTTGCTTTTGCCTAAAATCACTTGCATATGATGTAAAACCTATTTTTGAGGAAAATGTAGATTTCTTATTGCCCCAAGTGAAAAATGTGCTTGTTCTGTGTTACACATGACATTCAACTTTAACCTGTTTTTTGAAATGTATTGAGACTAATAAATTATTTATGTACAATTTACAGGCACAAAACGAAATGGCATTACTGGTAAAATGATGGTATCATAATATTATGGTACTCTGATATACAGTTTGAATGATAATTCATTATTATGTACCATGGTATTTACATGATACGCTGAGATACTTCAATAAAATAAAATGGTGATACCATCAAAAAAAAAACAAAAAAAACATGGTATTGCCATAGTAACATCCCCAAAACAAAAGTATTTCCATGGTACCATGTCCAAAATGCCATACTTTTTCATTGTATCATTGATATAATACTATAATTTTTAAAAATATTTAAATTACATTTTATTTTTCTGTTTTCATTTTTTTAGGCCAATCTTTTGTAATTTTGTTGTGGTTTTGCCATTTGTATCATTTTTTTTTTTTTACTATTTTTTTCAAAATATGTCTATAGTTTTTAAATTAAGTTTTACTTTATTTTGTTTTAGTTATTTTAGTACTTCATCTTAAATGAAATAAAAATGGGAAATGTTGCCTTGGCAACTAGCTGAAATAAAATAAGGTTAAGGTTTTTTAATTCATTTGATTTCAGTTAATGTTCTTTTTATTTCAAGTAATGAAATATCTTTATGGTTTAAATATCATTTTTAGTTTTACCCTGAACAGTACCATGGTGTTTTTTGGTTTTGTTTGTAACAAGCAAATGCGGTTCAGTACGCGAGTGGTTTCCACAAAAGCCTTTGAGAAGCCTCTGCGACTGAATTTCACAGTGAATAAGTTTGTGTGTGTGTGTGTGTGTGTGTGTGAAGAGGAGTCGATTAAGAATGCCTGCAGGAGTAATACTGCTGAAAAAACACACTTTCACTGAAAAATAATCATTAAAGTTGGTATCATTTTCCACATGGCTGCTGCTCTCTGACGCTGCGCAGAATGTCTAGCGGCACCATATGGTGTGTGTGTGTGTGTTTGATTCAGACACAGAGAAACAGCGAGCGATGGAGCCGAGCGCGATGCTTACAGGACAGCTGCAGGGGAACGGAGAGTACAAATGAAGATGCCTTAGAGGACAGAAAGGCCTTAGACCAGAAAAAAATGCTTTAAAGGAAGATTCTGTCCTCATTTACTCACTCTCATGTCACTTCAAACCTTTAGCAGAATGTTCACGCTGCTCTTTTCAGTGCAGTGACAGAGGATGAGGCTGTTGAGCTACAGAAAGGACAGAAAAGCACCATAAAAGCAGCTGATATGATTTGTGCAACATATTAAGAGATTTCTGAAGATGACTTTCTCATGTGTGTCAAAAGTTGACTTTTCTTGAGTTTTGTTCAAAGAATATGCTGAAGAGCAAATGAGACACATGATGACAAAACATTCACTTTTGGATGAACATCCTTTAAATTCCCTCAATAAATGTTTTTTCTTTTCAATATTCAACATGTACCGTGTCAAATTCATGAATCGTGCTGTATGGAGAACCAAACCTGCAAAACAAAATGCATGCAAAATGAAACAATACAAAATGAAAAGAAACAACAAATGAAACAAAACAAAACAACCCAGCAAAATTTTCACAGTAGAAATAAAAAAATGAAAAAATAAAATAAATAATAATAATAATATAAATTATATATATATATATATATATATATACACTTGCAACACAATTAATGAACATTGTCACAGCTTTACTTAATTTGAATTCGTAAATAGAGGTTGACATTCACTTGTAGAACATTCTCCGTATGTCGTCACGCTGAACGTGTTGCAGGTGATGAACTATATGTATTTGTTTATGTTCGTTTCTCACTGTACAACTTATTCAGTTTTAAATAAAGTTGTGGGAGTTTTAGCATTTAGTGAAGTGTGTGAATAAAATACTATTAAAACAAACCATGTTACAGATTTTTTCATTTATTTTTTGTGGCACTGTGTGCAGATGGAAACAATCGAAAAGCTTTGGATTAATGTTTTATTATTATTTCAGTTACTGTCATAGACATACTGTTTCTCTGTCAAATCAGCATGTAGCAATTTCACCAAAAAACAAAATCACTGACCATCAATCAAGTGTTTATTAGGTTGGAGCTGATTATTTACTCCTAAACTCTCATTAAAACATAAGGTTTTGTATATTTGAGACCAGTGTGTGCTGCTCACAAAATGTTACATGCATGCACACAGAACAGTGGTGAATGAGTTTTTCATATATTTAGATTTCCTTTCATATACAAATCTACTTTGACATATTTGTGGGTTTTCAACCATTCAATCACGATGACTGCTTGTGTACTTCCATGTTTTGTTCAAAGTGTTCATGTAGCTCAAAGTACATGATACCAAATGAAACGCAAATAATGGAACTAAAATCCACTAGCACAAATAATAATAAGCAAAGTCAAGTGAAAAGTACAAATATACAAATATCTGAAATTTCAGGTAATAAAAAAAAAAGAATGAAGTAAAACTGTACAAAACAGGAATGACTAATTACTAAAACCTAAAAAATGACCAGTATCTGAACTAAAAAACTGAGCATTTTAACAGTTGACGAGCTGCAAAGTAAGACGAACTAACTGGATTCTTTTAGAGGTGAAGCTGTTGTCGTTAGAGAAGGCAAATTAAATGAAGATTTCACATGCATATTTGTGTTGATCTTGTAGATACCGATCCCTCCTCATGTATATATATATATACACACACACACACATAAATGTAAAAACATGGAAATTAATATGCAAGAATTTAATGTAAGAATATGTATGAATATGTAAGAATAAAAAATTAATAAGTAGATATATATTTATATAAAAAAATTAACACAAATACATGTAAACATATATATATATTCAATTTTGTACTAATTATATATACAGTATATGTATATATAATTACAAAAAAATTAAAGAATAATTAGTAATTTGATATAAAAATTAATTGAGGACTAAATTTTGTGAAAACTGAAAGAAAATGTTTATTTCATGGAGTAATTATTTCTTTTTTGCAGGTTTTGTTCTCCACAGTGCCAGTCTAAATGAGCAGATGAAAGACTGCAGTTTAGCTGATGATGCACTATAGCCCTGTAGTCTTTGAGCACTGATGTCTTCTGGATTCTAATGCAATCACTCACTGTTGGCTGTAAGTGGTCGTCGGGGACACAGAAACATCACCACAGAGACGAGAGTTAATATTACATCCTTAAAGCTCTCATTTACTCTCACTCCATCTGTATGCTATCCATCCTAAACAACATACAAGATAACAAAAACAGTGTCCCAGTGAGAGCACACTGGAAACAATGAGTGAAAGCTGCTTTCAAGTGCACTTACGTCTCAAAGGTTGTTCTTCCAGAGCTCAGGAAAAAATAACGGCATACTCAGATAAGTCTCCTTTAAATGTATCATGTTCATCTCAGACGTTTCTCCTAATATTCTGCAGGAAAAACACTCATTACAGGACTGCAGCACAGCACCGTGTGTGTGTGTGTCTGTGTGGAATAACCCCGTGGGTTTGTGTTTATCAGTCACCATAGAGAATCTCATTATATAGATTATGTGAACCGTTTGGCCACACGCCGCTGCCTCCTGACCACAAAAAACACTGCTAGCACAAGAGACGCTAATCAATTGACCTGAATTACAGCACAGTATCTCGCAGAAGAGCAGCAGCGCCGTTATTTCTGCTCCTGTTTACACTCTCCCACCGAAAATCAGCCATCATCCGCTCATAATGAGATGATGAAGGACACAGAGGCTCCCGCAGGATCAGTTATGTGAAATCAGCACAAACATTTGTCTCATTCTGCACAAACTGCATCATGTTTGGTGTCGATGTGTAATATTATCTGCTAGCAGGATAGCAGAATCTCATGCGTTATTAAAATACATATTACTGAAAATTATTTACAGGAAGAAACCATCTAGAATCCACTCAGCAACCGCTGACCCCAAACTATATTATATTATATTATATTATATTATATTATTATAAAGATATTATAAATAATATAATAATATATTTGTGGATATAATGTAAATATTTTACAAAATGTAATAAAATATAATGTATTTACATTATTTATAATAATAATTCAAATGTACATTATTTATATATAATATATTCTTAATATTTTCTTTAAAAAGCTATATCATAAGTAATACAAAAATGTAATAATTTATATATATAGTTTTTTAGATCAAGAAAAAATACATATATATGTATACATATAAATACATTCACATTATTTATATCTGTAAATGCGTGTTTACATATGTAAATAAATATATATATACAGTGGGTACGGAAAGTATTCAGACCCCCTTAAATTTTTCACTCTTTGTTATGTTTTTCTGTCAATATGAGGTGCTGTGTGTACATTAATGAGGAAAAAAAATTAACTTAAATGATTTTAGCAAATGGCTGCAATATAACAAAGAGTGAAAAATTTAAGGGGGTCTGAATACTTTCCGTACCCACTGTATATATATATATATATATATACACACACACACACACACATACACAATTTTATAATATATTTACATTATTTATATGTACACATACAGAAATATATATTTACATAAACATATAAATATACATAAATATATGAAGAGTTTATTTGCAAAAACAGATCACTTTCAAAATTTAAATGTTCAAAAAGTGTTTTTATTGTGTTTTATTGTGTTAGTTAGCTGCATTTGTTAGTTATTTTTTACCTAATCAAAATAACAGTTTAATTAAGATTAATTGGAATGAAAAAACATGATTTTTGAAAATGGTTAAAAACGGAGTTATCTGTTTTTGCAAATTAACTCTTCATATTTATATATATATATTTTTCTTTATTCTTAATTATTTCTTGATCTAAAAGATCTAAGTATCAATAATGAACTAATTGAATTGAGTTCAGTGTCGATGTGTAATATTGTTGATGTGTGACACTGGTAGGATAACAGAATCTCATGCATTAATTAAATGTATGTTATTTCAAATTATTTACAGCACAATACCACTTAGCAACCTCTCAGAACACCCTAGCAACCATTTAGAAGCACACACATTGCACCTTTGCATTAAAACACCACCAAAAAGCTCCAAAAATCTATTTTATATGTGCATTCTGCATGCACAAGTACAGTATATAATGATTTATTTATTCATAAATGCAAACTAAGATATAGCCGCCGTGGTTTATGAATGTGAAATGATGTCAGTGTAAAGGAGTCTGACTGATCACTGTTTCTGCTCAGTCATTGGGTGCTATGTGGAGCTGTCACTCACCGTAGTGTGGAATGATGGCCCAGGCCATGGCTGAGGCGTAGATCCCGCCTACCATCCAGAACATGCAGAGCCAGCTCAGGTGTTCCCCGCGCTTCTCACGGGACAGAACCTCCGCAAAGTACGAGAACACGATGGGAACCGCACCGCCAATCCTGCAAAGAAGTTATGACATATTATATTTGATATGAATTTTCAGCATCATTACTCCAGTCTTCAGTGTCACATGGTCCTTCAGAAATCATTCTAATATGCTTGGTGCTCAAGAAACATTTATTACAAACATTTATTATCAATGTTGAAAACAGTTGTGCTGCACAATATTTTTGTGGAAACTGTGATACATTTTGTTTTTCAGGATTCACAGATGAATAGAAAGTTCAAAAGAACTGCATTTATTTGAAATAGAAATCTTTTGTAACATTATAAATGTCTTTTCAATTGATCAATGCATTCTTAATAAATGTATATTAATTTCTTTTCTTTCTTTTCTTTCTTTCTTTCTTTCTTTCTTTCTCTCTCTCTCTCTCTCTCTCTTTCTTTCTCTCTCTCTTTCTTTCTTTAAAAAAAAAACAAATGACTGATATCAAACTTTTTGGTAGTGTATATAAACTTTTAGCAGCCTATATTGTATTACATCTATTAGATAGATTTGTGTCAAAATACTGTTTGTTGATTGGATGACAAATTAGGCAATTGTGTCAACAATACACTCGTAACGTCACTATAGACGTATCACTATAGATAAAAAAAATGTCTTTGGAGTCATTGGAAAATGAATTAACTGAATGTCAACAAAAAGCTGAATCTACTGGGGAAAATCATAATTTTGATGTTTTTTTTAAAAAGAAAGCCCAGTTAGCGGATCTGCTGGAATATAGAACACAGGGGGCGTTGGTCAGATCAAGATTTCAAAACATAAGTCATATGGATGCACCGTCAAAATTTTTTTTCTGTTTAGAGAAAAAAAATGGACAGAAGAGATTAATTCAGGCCCTCCAGTCTGAAGAAGGCCAAGTTTTGCTGAATCCTAGTGATATTCGAAAGAGAGCAGTTGGTTTTTACAAAAATCTTTATAGAAGTGAGTATGTAACAGAAGTTGATGTGGAAAGCACTTTCTTGAGTTCCCTACAGAAAATGTCAAAAGAGGGTAATGCAGTTATTTCAGGTGCGTTAAGTCTGGGAGAGCTGTATAAAGCCCTTCAAGGCATGGAATTGGGAAAAGCGCCTGGGATTGATGGCCTCCCAATTGACTTTTATAAGTCGTTCTGGGCAGAGTTAGGCGCGGACTTGTTACAAGTGCTGGGTGATAGTCTGTCAAAAGGTATGTTGCCTCTTTCTTTCTTTCTTTCTCTCTCTCTCTCTCTCCATCTCTTTCGTTTTTTTAAGGACCCCAAATGTGTAATTGAAATTATTTAAATCAAATAATTATTTAAATTATTTTGTATCAATAATATCAATCAACAGCATCATAAAATCTACTTAGAATTGAATATTTTGACTACATAATTCTTATATTTATATTTAGACACATCTATCATTTATTTGAGATAGAAGTCTTTTGTAACATTATAAACACGTTTTATCAATTTATAACATTTTATAATATATTCTTAATCTTGACCTAAATATAATATTGAATCATTAATAATTCATTATTATAGTAACCATTATTTGCTTGCTTATATTGATACATCTAATCTAATTATCACCACGTACAACAAGCAAGTATCAAAAATGAATGAACTTTTTGGCATTCTCAGGAGATGTTCACATTCCTCTGTGTTTTTTAGGGTGAAATGTGTAAAATCGGTATTAGCATCACTAGCACCACCAAAAAGAAAATAATTATAATCTTAACAGAGAATAAATGAAACAAACAAAAATATAGCAATGAAAATAAATTATCACATAAATTCAGCACGGTTGAAAATGAATTTAAAAACATCTTCCTTTGTGGTGCATCTAGCTATTTTTGTCGGTCGGTGTGACCTTTGACCCTCTGTCTGAGACATGACTGTGCTGCGGCGCTGATTCAGTCTGGAGTCACTGCACTGCTGCAGTTCAATTAGCAATAAAACCCACTCTCGCTCTCTCTCTCTCTCTGCTCTTAAGTTATGGGTCTGTGCCAGGAGGTTAAAACAACTGTGACACTGCAGAAGTGCTTGAAGAGAGACAGAGAGAGCGAGTGTGTCGCTCAGAGCTGCTATCCCAGTGTGTGTGTTCAGTTCTGTGTTCATTACAGTTTCTAGTCGGATGTGGGATATTCCCGCTGTCCTGAAGTGATCCAATACTCATTTCAATGCTAGCATTTGTTCAGCACATGCATGGTTATCCAAAAAGATAATTTACAGCGTTTTATGCATATCAGTCTACATAAAAATTTGCAACAGATTTATTTATCATGACATGCAATATTGGAACCGTCAAAATGATGCATTCATTTGCCTAACAGTAGTTTGTTTATTATTGCATTAGATCATACATAAATATTACATCGAAATTAAAGGCTGATTTCAAGTCTGGCCCAAATAATCGAGTTGAGCACACACGACCGCCATCATAAAATTATAAATGCTATTAGGATTTTCTATCAGTTTAATGTTAAAAGTCACTATAAGTCAGTTATTTGTGTTTGACTCCCTGAAGAGTGAAACACTGACGCTCTCCAAACATTTGAATTCCTATTCAAAAAGTGGGAATGCTGGGAAATGGGGAGTAACTTTATTGCTATTCTTTTGCAAAAAATTCTAATACATTTAATGCATATTTTATGCATAATTCTTTTAAAAATTCCATGCATAAATAAATGCATGCATAAATGTAAACTTCATATGACCAATGCAAATTGATCTTTAATTGACTCTGATAGTGAGTGTTCCTGACTGAAATCCTGAGCTTCTCATGGATAACCATTAAAGCATTTAGGCTCATGTACATTCATCCCAACAGAATTTAAAGACAGCAAATGCTCAATTTGAGTGCTCTGACATGTCAGCTTCTGGCTCTGCATTTTATTTTGGCCCTTAATTTTACTTTGCATTTTACTTTTTTTGCCCTTAATGGTGCAGAAACGACATGCTTCACCTTTAAGGCGAGAAACTACAGGAAAAGCCTTTTTTTCATACACTGTTCAATTTTGAGATTTTGGCCTGTTAACAAGTCTTCTTTCAGACTAGTGCAAAGAAAACATCTAAAATACACATTTAAGTGTTTATTTCATTGCACTTTATATATATATATGCGTCTGTAAATTTCAATGCATGAATTTTGAGCCTGGCTTTATTCCAGTGTTATTTTAGTGTCATTGATATACTATTACAGTTTTTCTTAATATTTTGAAATTAGATTTTATTTTTAGACTTTCAGTTTTCCCTTTAATTTCAGTTCAAGTTTCAGTAATTTTGTTGTTTTTGTCATTTTATAAATATTCCGTTATGTCTGTTTAGTTTTTATACATTTTTATTTATTAATTTTAGTTTATTTGGTTTTAATTATTTTAGTACTTGAAAATGTGAAAATATGAAAATGTGTGCCTTGGCAACAAGCTGAATTAAAATAAGTTTAAGTTCTATATTTGATTTTATTTCACTTAACGTCTATTTCATTTAAAGTAAGGAAAATGCTTTTTTACAGTTTAGTTAACTATAATAATCCTGCTTTAAATGTATGCAAATGAGTACGTATTTAATTAGATAATGCCTCATTTGCATACTTACACATAACATTTCAGAACATGTTTATCTTAATGTACTGTGATCAATCAGCTGGGTAAGTATGGTGCTATCTATTAGTTACGTTTTTACTCTATTCTCTCATCTTTAGGATGCTCTGAATGACCTTTCCCACACGTCATCGCTGATCGTTCCTCACGGAGCAGTTAATTAACCCGCAGTCATTGGCTCAGTAAAGGAAAGCAGAAGACGGATGGACTATGAACTCACCCGAAGCCCGAGAGCATCCTGCAGAAGAGGAAGGTGCTGTAGCCCTGAACGAAGGACGACAGGAAGGCGAAGAAGCCGTTGACTGACATACACACCAGCAGACACTGCGAGCTCAACAAACTGCTTTTCATTTTACTTCACACACATGTGAAATGTGTGAAACAGCACATAGAGTCAGAATGTCAGGGTTACTTGTAGTGAACTAAAACTAAAATTAAAATCATAAAAAATACATTTTTGTTACTTGATATAACATAAACATTAATTGAAATAAAATACAATAGGAAAAACTTTTTATTTCAGCAAGTTGCCAAGGCAACATTTCGCATCTTCATCCTGTTTAACTTGATGTAGGCTACTAAAATAACTAAAACTAAAACTAAAATTTATAAAAACATATAGACACGTACAGTATATATATATATATATATATATATATATATATCTATATATTAAAAATGACAAAAACACAAAATAAAATGATCAAAACTTAAACTGTTGAAATTAAAAAATAAGAAAATATTAATACAAATTATAATAGTATCTCAATAATACTAAAATAACACTGTTATGTTTGTATCGGATTTTTATATGAAGAATTAAGAGACCATTCACTTGATTTACATGTTTAACAATGAACTTAAACTGTGATGTTAAAAAGACATTAAAACATGAGAAAAACAATAAATAAATAAATAAGATTTGTCAGTCTTCTCATTTGTTTTGTTTAAGCATTATCTTTGTCCAGTGTTGTTTTAGTATTATTTTTATACTGTTTTAGTATTTATTAATACTTTTAATTAGCTTTATTTTTAATACCATCATTTTTTATACTAGCTTTTTTCTTTTGCTGTTTATTTCTATTTAACTATTAAATTAAACATATACTTTTATTTCATTCGTTCATTTTAGTTTTAGAAATTATAGTAAATTAAAATTAAATTTTAAAATTAAACTTGCTCATTTCAGTTAGTTGCCAATAATGCAACATTTATAATCTTTTAAGTTTTTCATCTAATAGCTATATTTATTAATAATAATTGTAATTAGCTTTTATTTTAATACTTTAAAAAAAATATTTATTTTTTTTATTTTTTTTGCTTGTCAGCTTTTGTTAGTTATTTCTATTTAGCTTTGATTTATTTTTATTTTAGTTTTAGTCATTTTAGTACTTTAAATTTACTTATTTCAGTTAGTTGCCAATAACACAACATTCCTGAATTTCTAAAAGTTTTTTAAAGTTTAAGTTTTTCCATCTAATATTTATATTTTGTTTTATTTCAGCTTCATTTCAATTGAAAAAATATATATTTTTAAATTGTCTCAGATGTTTCTCATGCAATTCCTTTGAAGAAATAAAAAGTGATAAAAGTGAGCTGTCATCCAGTCAGAGTATAGAACTCTTTAAGGATTTGAAGACAGTTTGAGATGTTGTTGAGATCTAATGTGAGATAACGGAGTATTTTCTCATCTCTCACAGCAAGTCTTCATTTAACCTCACTGATGTTTAGGAGAAACAATTGAGATTTCAAGAGATCATATGTAGTCATATGGTGACTGTAATATTGGCAGCTATTGTTTATTGATCAGTATTGATTGTAATGGAAAGCTGAGCTGTTCAATAACGGACTGTGACATAAATAACACACTGCTGTTATTAGTTTTATTGATTGGTTTCCATCATCACAAACCACAGTCCACTGGTACATTTAAAGGGACAGTTCACCTAAAAATGTCAACACATTTTTTGAAGAACATTACCATTATCTAAATATCTAAAAGGTTTTATATTGGGGTCAATATACATGGAAAAACTCATGTAGAAATTAATTTTGAAACAAATTTCACTCAGAAACTGCTAGTAAGTTTCATAAATAATTACAAAGAAACAGCAACATTATTAACCGCGAAATTTTAAGCAGAGTCTAAAATGCTATAATAATACAATAATATTTGTTTTATTTACACTATAAAAAAGAATATGTATGATGTTGCAAATAAAAGAAAGATTATTGGAGTACATTTTACAAGAAAATACTATTTTACTTCAAAATTTCACATTTAATTCAGTGTCACTTGTCATTTCTTTGTATTTATTCATAAAATTCACAAGCAATTTTTGAGTGAAAATTCTTTCCACAATTGTTTTTCAGTGTACAACTTCATTAACACACAAAATCATTTTTGCAGTGTATGTTCTTTTGTGTTTCGCAGAAAAACTAAAGTCATACTTGTTTTGAACGGCAGGAGGGTGAGAAAACTTTCTTTTTTTTGGTAAACTGTTCCTTTAAGAAGAAAGATTAGCCAAAAAATGAAAACTCATTTGTTCATCATCAGTTATTGTTACTCCTGACGACGTAAATAAGAACTAAAGATGACCTACACGTTACTCCAGATGTGCAATGCTTCAACAGAAATGATAACAGGTGCATTTCGCTCATTGTTTCTTTGTGAGTTAAAGGGGTCATATGATGTTGCTAAAAAGAACATTATTTTGTGTATTTGGTGTAATGAAATGTGTTTATGTGGTTTAAGGTTCAAAAAACACATTATTTTCCACATACTGTACATTATTGTTTCTCCTCTATGCCCCGCCTTTCTGAAACGCGTCGATTTTTAC